GGCAGCGTGGGCTTCCTGGTCAATGGGAGCTCGGCGCTGGGCAGCCCGAGACGCCGTCAGGTGGGCCTCCCACGTTCGCGGCCCGCGCTGCGTCCCTCCCTCTCCTGCTTCCTCTCCATCTTGGTTCCAGCAGCTCGCCTTCTTGATTGCTCTTCTGTTGCTGGGGCCGTAGCAGCCGAGGCCGAGTGGCCTCAGTTAACGCGAGGAGACTGTGGTTCTGAGGAAACCTGCGTTCCAGATCGTTCGCCCTTGGGACATGGGGACAGATTCGGATTTTTCTCTTCCTGCATCCCACAAGCATTTATTGAGCACCTAGTATGTGAGAGAGGAGGCTGTGAGAAGAGCAACACAGCAGGATGATACAAAGCCAGGGCCTGTTATCGAGGAGTGTCTGCCGCCCTTTGCCATCGCGGACCCTGCTCCGAGATTCCCGGCCATAGGTACCAGCGCAGGAGGCAGTTCCCACCCTGGGAAGCTTTCGGATGGGAGGGACAGGTTTTCACGCGAGTGAGCTTCTAGGACAAGCTTACTTTCTCAACACAGGGCTTAAATGCTTTTGCTCACTCTGTATAGTTTAGTTTGGTTGAGGTCTTTGCATTGAACCCTACCATCCCGCCCCTTCCCCAAGTACGTTAAATGAATGTTGAATAGATTCTGGGTGAGAAAAGAGATTTCCTTCCCTTATTAGTGTTTAAAAAAAAAAAAAACACTCCCTACCATCTCTTTTTCAAATAAAGGCCCAGAAACCTGTTATTCAGCGTACAGCTAATGAAATAGTGAGGAAACATACACTTTTTGCCAAAGACTGGTCATGTTCTGGGTGGTCTCTGAGATTTTGAAGAAACTACTTCTCACTGCACAAAACGGTTTTACAATAAGTTCCACCAGACAGCCCCAGGGGCCCTCCTAGAGGAAGGGGCCAATAGGAAAGGTTGCGTGGGGATAGGAGAGGCAAGCAGCCAGTGGAAAACGTTTTTTTCTAGCAGTTGGGCATTTCTGTGGCTCTAAAAGCAAACCTGTTTGTTTTATTTCAACAATATAAAAAACACTCCTGTTTTTGGAAATGTTACCCAGCATAAAAATACAAATGCAATGGGTGAAAAATAGGCAATTAAGGCCCACCCAGAAGAAAACATTTTTGCCCTGAATTTTTTAATTTGTTATTTCCCAGTATGGGTTTGCCTCATTCCACAAATAACTGTCTATGTCAAAAGTTGTGTGTAATGTAATTTGAATATTTAAACTTAAATCACATTTTACATAGTCTAGGAAACTTTGACACAGGACTCTTATGAATAATTGTTTTATAAAGTAAATAACTGCTTCCCCCCCACCTCACCCCCTGCCCCCAGTCTCTTTGTGCATGTGTGTTGGGGAGGAAAGTTTAAGGGATAAATCTGGTTTGCTTAAAATCGAGGTGTCACTAAAAATCAGCCTCTCAGATCCAAAACAGAGCTTAAGTACCCAACATTTTATAGAATTTGTTATTTCTTTTAAAGGTTACTAAGATGATTATGCAGATCTATCAGATATAAGGAAAAAATTCAGCCACCTCACCCAGTTTCTGCAATCCCTACAAGGCTGCATCTGAAAGTAGAGAGGTAAGACTATATCCATTTCTTTGCAAATAGAATGGCCTTATTTTTCATTTTAATGCTCTTTCATGTCAAGTAATTTTTAATTTAAGATCTTAGACTTTTGGGGCATTGTGACTTATATAGGTGCGTCAAACTATCCTTGATTTTAGGTATATTTATTCCTTCTTGGTAGCATATCTAGTATGGTAAAGGCACAAACCTGTGTTTTGTGTTTTTCTTTACTCATTTAGTGCTTACTAAGCACCTACCTACCATGTACAGAGAAATGTTCTAGACACTATAGATATTGTATTTCAGGTTTGTCTACCGTGTTTTCTTTTTCTGGGTCACTTTTCATCTTTATAACTGGGCTTTGTAAAAGACTACTAATAATCCACCTCGCCTGTATTGTGCTTTACAGCTTATAGAGAACTTTTATGAAAATTATCTCTTGTGATCCTCCCACTTAAACCTTAGCTAGGCACTGTGATATGGGGAGCATCATGGCTGAGTGGTATGAGCCTGGACCCGCTCAACCTGGATAGCCATTTCATAGCTGAGAAAACTGAGCCTCTAAGGGTCTGAATAACTTGTTCAAAGTTGTGCAGTCAGTAAGTAATAATCGAGGTCTCCTTTTACAGGATTGTGGACTATCTGAGAAATACCACACACACACACACATATGTATCACATTTCCTAGACTCACAGAAAGCTTATAGCTCTGGAAACCAATCATATTCTGCCCACCCTCCCAAAAGAAGTGAGGATGACAACATCCCAGTTCTCTGTGTGATTAGTAATTAGATAATACCACAAGTGTTTAATTATCCACAATTCATTCCTGTGGGAATGGGGAAATTACAGTCCTAACATCAGGAGTGATCAGGGACAGAACCCATTTGGTTTTATTTTATACAATCCTCAGTATTATTTTTCTCTGAATATTGCTGTTGGCCAAAGAATAATTCTTATTTACTCTACCCTCAGTCAACTATACCCCGTGCCATACACTGTTCAGCACATTTTTTTTATTTTAAAGGTAGGTAATTAGAATACTTTATATACTCTTTAAAAGGAACAACAGCTAAAGCCTATACTGAGTTGCTTTTATACTACATGTGTCTCCGAATTCTGGAGGACAGTAATTTAGGATATAAATAAGATCCCCCAGCTCTGACTTACAGAATGTGGTCTCTGATTTGATGAACTGAATTTCCCTATTTGTTCCCTTTTGTGGTTACTTTAATTAAATATGCATGCATTGACAATCTACTGGGTTTAATGTATTGATTTAGACTCAAAGGTAGGTTTAGATATGAGATTGGCTTCTTGAAATCTTGAAATCCCTGAAATGTCTTCTCAAAACCATTCACATCAGAATCATCTGGGGTGCTTGTTAAAAATTCAGTTACCCATAAATGTGACAATGTATAACTGAAAAATTGTGCTCTACACTGGAATTTGACACAACATTTTAAAATGACTATTACTCAATAAAAAGATGTTAAAAAAAATTCAGTTACCCATCTTACTTCTACCAAATCAGACTATTCTACAGTCTGCATTGATAGCCACTAACTAGGTGATTTTTCTGTACACAACATGCTAGGTCTTGTAAAGAATTTGTGCCAATTAGTTCTCTGGTAATTTACATTCTTAAAGTCCACATATCTCACATATTTCTAAATTCAACTTTTCTTTATGTTTAGCAGTTTTTGTATTTCTGTTAAAGGGAAAAAATTATGAAAATTGCTATTCCCTATGAACATTATTCTCTTCATGGGAAGAAAACTGGCCAAATGAAACCAAATGAAATGTCAAGTGTATTAGGCATTTTAGAGAGAACGGTAGATCACTAGAGATTTTAAGTTTCTTCACTAAGGGTTTTTATTATAAAATTGATGTCACACTCTAACTTAGTGAACACAATTTAGAAGAATGTCTGGGTAAGGCTAAGAGATGACTTATGATGACTTAAGAGTTTTCTGATAAATATTTGGCATTAATGAGGGAAGATGCTGGTCTAAATTTTTTATGTCCCTAGAGGATAGCGCCCCCATTAGTTCATATTCATTGCTTCTCTGACTGTATTAATATTAATTTATGCACATCTCTCAGACCTACAAGAGCAGTGGTTATCAAATGTTACTGTGCATAAGAATTACCTGTGATGCTTTTTAAAAATGCAGATTCCTGGGTGAATCTCTAGAATTTCTAAATCAGTAAGTCTGAGGTGGAACCTGGAAGTGTTCATTTTTACTATCATACCTTCTCCCCCAAGTGATGCACTTTAGGAAACACATCACTGGACTATACACTCCTTTGAGGTGAGGGAGTTATCAATTTGTATATCTCCCAAAAGGTCAAGCATGGCCCATTGTCCACAGATCATCAATTTTAATGCCTACTAACTAAATTCACCTATCTATAGGCAAGGGCTAAATCAGATCATATATCAAAGTTCTTCCCAGTTCTGAGACTTTTTGATTTTCTAATTGAAATTTTGTGACTTGATTCTAGAAAACTTTTAAGATTGAGTGAGTTCAAAGAGATAATGGCTTATTTTCAAGTAAGATTCTGAAAAATGAAATGATACTTGTTTTAAACAAACAAATGGGAGATTATTGGTATTTAGGAACTTATAAGAAGAGCATATGCCAAATGTTTTTGATGTTCCCATCAGAAATCCTTTGCTAAATTTTGTCTCTCATTTGTTGTTTTGTAGACTTCATAAAAAAAGTATATTTATCATTGTTAGGAATAAAAGATGCCATAGAAAGAAATAAAGGTTTTGTATACTTTTCAACGAAGGGACTTTCATGAAGGCTTGTCGGTAATTGAGTTGAGCTCTTGAGTTACTGAAGTCCATTATGTAGTCACTGTTGAGAACATTATTTGTTGAATGTATTTCGATGGTTCAAGTACCCCAGAGAGGGTGTGTTTTGTGATTTTCCTAAATTTAAGATGGCAAGGGAATCCCACAGGATGCATTTGGCTTGGGTTGAGTGGAAAGTTGGAGGGGACTAGGACTAGTGCTTTCATGTTGATAAGATTGACCAAAAGCTGAAATTGAAGTTGGAAATTTGGCTTAAAATGAAGGCATTACCTAACAGCCATGATCTCTGCTGGAATATTTTTGGAAAATCTTTCATCAGAAACCAAGGTTCTTATTTGTTATGATAGGAATAATAGGACTTTTCAACCTACCTGGTCTAGAATTGACAGATGAAATTAGCAGGTACATGTTTGTAAAGTGTTTATTTAATACTTATTAAGTCCTCCAGAAGACGAGAGATTTCCTGACACAAAGTTTTCTTGCATTATTTATCATATTTTCTCTCTCCATAGAGCCTTTCACACATGCAGCTCAAACACATTTTAGACATTATCTAATTAGTCTTCTGTAAGCTTCAAGGTCCAAACTCTTATTACTGCAATGATTTTAAAGATAGAAATATTTTTATTTGTTTTGGTCAGTTGTATTTCTGAAAGCAAAAAGTAGTTGAATTTTATGTGAATCCAGTTAAAACCAGTTGCATTGGCTATAACAAGTGTGACTGGGGGAGTGTGAGGCTATCAGTTAATTCAGATTTATTAGAAGTAATTTGAGGGTGTTTGGCCAAACTAGACTGATTCTATTTTGTGACCTGTCTGCATCCTCTAAAGGACATGTAGTTTGGGGTGTTCCCAAAGTCAGCCAAGTACCAAGAACATGGTGTTCCAGCAGGGAAACAAGTTGAACTAACGTTGGGCCTCTTATCTGTTCCTCAAAGGCCTGTAAAACCCTGACCTCTGTGGCAGAGAAAAATATTTTTATGAAATTCCTCTGTGTGTGATGGAGCACATCTATAAAATTGAAGAAGGGTAAGTCAGAGGGAGATGTATTTTCAACCAGACACCTATCCCATAGGACTTTTAGCTAGAATCACTCAGAGCTTGAAGTAGAAAGAAAAGAATGGAACTGACCTTCTTCTCAAGGAGCACCTGCAGATGACTCTTTTCCCTTGGCCACTGAACACTGTAGCCTTTGGAGAAGGCTAAGAGAAGAGGAAAGAAAAAGGAGGAGGAAGGACTGTGAATTAGTTACATCCAATATAAATTAAAAACAGCACTGTTCCTAATGACCAAAGAGAGGGCATATACAGATCTCAATAAAAATGATGAATGTAGGGCTTAAAATGATCAAAATTAAAGAGATGGATGTCTAAAGGTAATCTTAAAAAAATTAATGTTGGGATTAATTTTCCTGATTGAGAGATGGAATGAATAGGGCAGGGAAACAAAAAGGGTAAGTTTGGGGTTTGTTCCGTTTGATTATCCTTTCCTTGGCTCTACCACCTCTGTTTCTGTTCTAGAGAAAAAGTAACACCAATCATTCCTTCTTTCTTTTGCCTCCCCCACCTCCGCTCTACTCCACTATTTGGCTTTACCCACCCCGCCAAACATTTCTCTAGTAAGAAAATAGTGATAAGAATGAAATTTTCCCTATTCTTGCCTTCATTTATTGAATACATTTATTGTGTTTACTATGTTCCAGACTTTGCTCTAGGAACATACTGAGAATACACTGTTGAGTAAACACACATGGTCCCCTGCCATCATGGTGCATATAGTCTCTGATTGTTGAATTATAGCAGTCTCTCATACATTATTTGATTTGATCTTTTTTAAAAAACCCTTTAAGATAGCTAAGATTTCTATTTGCATTTCATGCATAATGAAATTAAGCTAAGGGAAGTTCAAGTAATTTACCCCAGATCATGCAGCTGGTAAATCGTATAATCAGGATGGTCACCCTAATTTTCTGAATTCTGAGACACTGGTCTTTCTGCCACATTATGCCACCTCCCTAAGATCCAAGGTTCAAAGATTATATCTAAGTTGCTCTTTTAAATAGCACTTAGACCAATTATATTATTCATATTTTAGTGAGTTTTTATTTTACTCAATATTCCTTGCTCCCTTTGTCAGATATCATTGATCATCATAAATGAACTTTATCTAAGCAATTCATGATCCCATGA